ATATATATATATATATATATATATATATATATATATATATTCAGGAATAGCAATACTTTTGAAAACTAATTTTGCAAAGTTGTGATTCATTTGTTTTGGGGGCACTAGAGATTAAACTCAGGGATCCTCTATCACTGAGCTACATCCAGCTATTTTTATTTTTTAAACATTTATTTTTTAATTATAGGTGGACACAATCTCTATTTTATTTTTATGTGATGCTAAGGATCAAACCCAGTTCCTCACACATGCTAGGTGAGCACTCTACCTCTGAGCCACGACCCCACCCCTATTTTTATTTTTTATTTTGAGACAAAGTCTTACTAATTTGCCGAGGCTGGCCTCAAACTTGCAGGCCTTTTGCCTCAGCCTCCTGAGCAACTGGGATTGCAGGCATGCACCACTTGGATGGGCCATTAATTCATTATTAAAATTTACTGAGGGAACTATTCTGCATTATAAAGTCACAAAGGGATATTCTAACAGACTGCATTATTTCCCTATCTATGTACCTGCATTATACTAAAGTAATTATTTCAGAATTGGAGAAATTTAATTCATGGTAAGTTTATTTACATAAATTTACTGAAATTAGTGACATTTTTCTAACCTTTTACTCCCTTTGTTCAATGTTTTAAAACAACATCTTTAAGGAAAGCAAAGGTTTTTTTTCTATAAGGACAACTTTCCTTACCCTCTATTAAATTGCAAAATGTCAGTAATATAGTTGTCTCATGAAATCACTGTGGACCCAGATGCTACAGAGAGTAGGAAGTTAACTCCCACCTTGATATATATGTGACACAGGATGGAACGCTGCATAACCATAGGAAAATAGCTTTTTAAATAACAATAACAAAAGATTTATCTTGGGCTGGGGATGTAGAGCTCTTTTGTAGCATGTACAAGGATCTGGTTTAATCTCCAGCACTTCAAAAAAAAAAAAAAAGATTCATCACATCTACATCTTTTGATCAAATCAGGGCATAGGTGTTTTTTTTTTTTTTTTTTTTGGATGCTATAAGAAGGAATATAGAAGATGTTTAGTCCAGATGGAATCATTTTTAATTTGTGTACAAGAAACTTTTGTTTTTAAAATTTTTAAAAATTTCCATCATTTTATATGGAAATACAACCTAAAAAGCTCTTTGGAACTCTATTGAAATATGTTCTTCTATATTTTACAAAATCCACTCTCTATAGTTTAAAGGAATGTTTTATTTCAGATTTGATTTTGATGCTTTCACTTTTAGTTCTTTCACTTTTGGAAAAGGCTCATCCCAGGCTTTAGATTCCATATTTCCATTGGTATAGACTCAGGAAAGGGTGACTATTACCAAACACTTAACATTTATGAATCAGTCTTACCTCCCACCAAGATCTACCCTGTCAGATGTGTTTATGTTTTAAATACAGTAAGAAGTAGTAAAGCTTTGATGGGCCCAGATGCAGAATCAGAGTTCAAAAGATATTTAAAGTGAATAAATATTCAAGAGTCTAGGTATAGGCTAAAGACAATCATTATATATAATATATCTTAGAATATATTAACTGTGTGTAGGTGGCTAACTAATTCTTAACTGAATGAGTGATAATAGGAGTAATATAGTGAAAGGAATAAAAAGATTGAACAATTGAAAGCAAATGAAGGTTGAACAATTGAAAGCAAATGAAACAACCTATGACATTCAAGTTCAATTGTGTGTGTGTGTGTGTGTGTGTGTGTGTGTGTGTGTGATGTTGGGAATGAAGAACCTGAGGCCTCATAGAGGCTAGACAAATACTCTACCACTAATCCATATCCAAGCCTCAGAGTTCAATTTTGTAATATCACCACATACCCCAAACTTGGTGGCATGCCTTAAAAATTACCTTCAACCATCTTCAAAACATCTCAAAATGCATACATTTAGATAAAATAAAATTCTTTTGAAATATAAAAGTAAAAAAAGAACTGAACTCACCTGAGCAACTTCATCTTTACACTCATGAAAATCTATGGATGTTAACAAAGAATCATTTTTCTCATAGCTCTCTTGGCTAATGAGCATATCTGCATAGTTAGGCTGAGGAAAGATAACATGGCTTGTTTGAGAGCCTGCAGTGAGGGAGACCTTGTGGGAATAGGTCTGAAGAAAAGCTTGTGTCCCATCAATGCCCACAAATTGTGAGGGGTGCACACCTGTCAGTCCACCTCCAGAGGCCTGGAGCATTCGAGACTTTTGCCAACGCTGAAGTCTGAGTGCCAGCAGCACAATGACAAAAGCAAGGAAGACACAGGAGACAACAGCCACTGCCACCACCAGGTGGAGTGTGAGGTCTGAATCATCTGAGACCCCAGGCGTCCTGATGCTGCTCAAGTCTGCCAAGACTTCAGGGATGCTGTTGGCCACTGCCACAGTAAGTGTGACTGTGGCTGAGAGGGGAGGCTGGCCATGGTCCTGGACAGTTACTATGAGACTCTGCTTGAATGCATCTCTATCCAGCAGGACTCTTGCTGTGCGCACCTCACCAGTGTGCAGCCCCACTGAGAAGAGTCCTGACTCACTGGCCTTGAGCAGGCGGTAGGACAGCCAGGCATTCTGTCCTGAGTCTCTGTCCACTGCCACCACTTTGGTCACCAGATATCCAGGCTCTGCTGAGCGGGGAGCCAGCTCCACACCAGTGGAGCCATCAGTGGGGAGGGTTGGGTACAGGATCTCAGGCACGTTGTCATTCTGGTCTAGCACATATAGGCTTAGTGACACATTGCTGCTAAGTGATGGGTCTCCACTGTCACTGGCAATTACCAGTAACTGCAAGTCTTGGATCTGCTCATAATCAAAGGAGCGCAATGCATACAGGACACCAGTGTTGGAGTTGATGGAGACATAGGAGGACAAGGGTGCTCCCTGGATGGTGTCTTCAGTCACAGAATAAGTGACCTGTGCATTTTCCTGGCTGTCAGGGTCATGTGCAGTCAATGAGAAAATAGAGGCTCCTTTCAGATTGTTCTCTGGAATATAAGCTGAGTAGGAGGCATGAGGGAAAATGGGTGCATTGTCGTTGGTGTCTGCCACAGTCAGGGTGATATAAGTTTCAGTAGACAGAGGTGGGGATCCTAGGTCTGATGCTGTCACTGTGATATTGTAAGTAGACTCTTTTTCTCGGTCCAAATATTTCCACGTAACCAATCTATAATAATTATCTATTGACTTTTCTAATTTAAAAGGTAAATTATCATGTGTGTAACAAACAACTTGCCCATTCTTTCCAGAGTCTTGGTCATGCACATTCAAGAAGGCAATTACCGTACCAGGAAGAGAATTTTCCAATACTGGGTTAAACAAAGACGTGATGATCACTTCGGGTCTATTATCATTTACATCCTCCACCATAATTAGCACTTTGGTCCTCCCGAGAAGTGCTCCCACATCTTCAGCCTGTATTTCCATTTCATAAAATGAACATTCTTCATAATCTAGACTTTTTGCTACAAATATCTCCCCAGTATTTTCATTAAGCTGGAATATGGGAGATTGTTTTTCATTGATTTTCCGGAATTTATATGCCACTTTTCCGTTGGCTCCCTCATCCGGGTCGCTAGCTCTTACTGTAAGCAATAGGGTGCCTGGTGGC